GACAACAAACAGGGCCAGTGCTCGGAAAAGCTTAGAAAAATGGGCCGACCATCGCAGAAATTCCACCAGCCTTTGGGCGTCTAGGTGATTTGGGTGCCGCTGTGCCAGATCTTCCAAGACAGCGCATCTTCCTCTGAGAGCTTCTGGCGTTCTGCTTGGGGCTGCCTTGAGCCATCCTGGTGCCCTGTTGGGCGTAGCGGACCCTTCGCGGGCCGTCAATGCCTTCTAGGCGATCTCCTGACACGCCTTGGGCTCCTGAGGGAACGGGCTGGCTCCGTCTTGAGGGCCGCGGTCGCCATCGAGGGCTCTCTTGGAGCTCCACGGGGGGCTTCTCGGGGGCCCTTCCCTTGGGGGTCTCCTGAGCCTTCTAGGAGCCTCCTGACGTCCTCCTGGACGACCCTGGAAGCCCCCCGACGCCCGACGACGCCCTCGATGACCTCGAAAGTGCTCGCGTTACCCCCAGGGGCAAAGCTCAGCATCGCTCGGACGTCCATTCCACGTGCATTGTTCGACTTGGTACGTGTATTTTTTCGCACGATCATCCAATCGGCGGTGGACAAGCCTCCCTTTAGTAAACCTCCCTCTGGTGAAAACGGCCTGGGACCGAGACCGAAGGCCCTGGACCCGCAAAAATGACGACCGCGGCGCCCTCTCGCGAACCGAAAACGGCCAATTCACTCATCGACGTGCCAGGGTAGGAGGCCTGTCCCCTAGTGGACCCTGGAAACGACAAGGCCGTTTTTTACCGATTCCGTTTTGCCGTTTTTGTTGCCCGTTCCGACGCCATTTTTTTTACCGGTTCCGTCGCCGTTTTTTCACCGGGTCCGGCTCCGGTTCCAATCCTGGGGCCGTTTTTTGCCCTTTCCGGTCCCGTTTTTTGCCATTCTCATTTTCAAGGGACCTTTTTTTGGGAAACGGTGAAAAAACGGCCCTGCCGTTTCCGGGGCCCAAGACTGTCCACCCCCGATCCAAAATGCTCCTCGACGGTCCTCGCCGTCCGAACGATGCCGAGAGCGCGGGCCGCTCCTGGGCCCGCGACTGGGCCCGGTCGCCCTGCCCTGACAAGCCGCGCGCGCTGCTCCCGCCTCGCCATCGCTCGTGCGCTGGCGCTTTTCGGTCTCGCGCGCTCCTGTTTGTCCAGGTGATCCAAGATGCTCCTTGAGGCATAATGGGCCCTGGAAACGACAGGGCCGTCTTTTTTTACCGGTTCCGTTTTGCCGTTTTTTTGCCGGTTCCGACGCCGTTTTTTGACCGGTTCCGGCTCCGCTTCCAGTCCTGGAGCCGTTTTTTTTGCCGTTTCCGGTAGCCCTTTTTGTTTTACCGTTTCCATGTTCAAGGGACATTTTTCTGGAAACGGTGAAAAAATGACCCTGCCGTTTCCGGGGCCCACAAAGCCTTGAGGGTCCTCGCCGAAGAGAAGCATGCCCTGGCCAAGGACCCCACCATATGCACTCGTGGGTACCGCAGTTGTGCGCATATCGCCGTCGGTGGATCTCCCCATGGGGCCACGCACGAAGCGCCGTGCTGGGTGGGGGAGACGCATGGGATCTGCGCCACTGGGGCCTTCGGTGGAGCTCCCGCTGGGGCCACGAAATTCTGTTACTGAGGGGATTCGCATGCGAACTGCGCTACTGGGACCTTCGGTGGAGCTCCCTCTGGAGCCACGTGGGGGAGACGCATGCGGCCACGAGACGGTGTATTGGGTGGGAAACTGGGTGGGGGAGATGCATGCGAACTGTGCCATTGGAACCTTCGGTGGAGCTCTCCATGGGGCCACGAAACGCTATAATTGGCGGGGGAGACGCATGCGAACTGCGCAACTGGGATCTGCGGTTGAGTTCCTACTGGGGCTACGAAATGCTGTACTGGGTGGGGGAGACGCATGCGAACTGCGCTACTGGAACCTTCGGTGGAGTTCCCACTGGGGCTACGAAATGCTGTTATGGGTGGGGCAAACGCATGCGAACTGCGCCTCTGGGACCCTAGGAGGAGCTCCATACGGGGCCACGAACCGCTGTCCTGGGTGGGGGAGACGCATGCGAACTGCGCCACTGGGATCTTCGGTGGAGCTCCCTATGGGGCCACGAAGCGCTGTCCCTGGGCTGTGTGAGTGAGAGGAGGGATGAGGGGGCGGAGGGGGCGGAGGAGGAGAGGAGGAGGAGGAGGAGGAGGAGGAGGAGGAGGAGGAGGAGGAGGAGGAGGAGGAGGAGGAGGAGGAGGAGGAGGAGGAGGAGGAGGAGGAGGAGGATGAGGATGAGGATGAGGATGAGGATGATGAGGAGGAGGAGGAGGAGGAGGAGGAACGCGGGGCGCTGTCTCTTCAAAAGGAGGACCCAACACCACAGGGTGGCTGGGAAACATCACACGTGCGAGCGATGCCGAGCCGATCGAGTGAGCAACCAAGACGAGCAGCGAAACAGAGCGCCGACTCGTGTGACGGTGCTGCCGTGCGGGAGAGAGCCCGGGGCACCGGCGCTGCTCGGGGCGGAGCGTCGCTTTGGCAGCCTCGCGCCGGGGGGCTGCGGGGGCATTCTCGCGCGGTGGCGGCCACGATGCCGTTGCGCGCCTGGGGCAGGCGAGAGTACCCACAACAAAAAAAATTGCATGGCATGGAGTGTGCTCAAATCGCTTCGCGCTCCCGCTGCGGGGGATGGGGAATACTTTGGAGGGCTCCAGGCCTGGGACTCCCAGAATGCCTGGGGGGCTTCTTCTGGCCATCGCTCGGACGTGGATTTCCTGTGTTTTTTTCCGGTTTCGTGCGTGGTTTTTTCGCCAAATGATCAAGGATGCTCCTCGATGGTTCTCGCCGAGAAAAAAATGCACACGTCCGAGCGATGCCAGGTCTTGGGCCTGGGCCATGACTCCTCGACGGTGGATCCGGAATGCAAGCTTCCAACATGCCCCACTGTGGCCCCCAAAGGCCATCCTGGAGCCCCCTTGGGTTGTCTTGGAAGCCAAGCGGGCTGGCTCGAGAGGCCAAAATCATTGAAACGTATCTGTTTTTGTGCGATTCGTCACCTGTTCGGCCTTAAGAGCGTTCAAGAGGTCCACAGAAGCGCCAAAGATCGCCCGAGACGCCCAAGAGGGCCCCCAGAGGGGTCATAGAGGGGAAGCTTGAAGGAGCCCTTGGGGCCATTCATCAGAATCTGACCCCCGAGACCCCCTTCAGGCTCCCAAGAGGCGAGAGGTCCTCAGAGTTTTTCAGTGCCTTCAATGCATCAAGAATGGATGAGTAAAGCAGATCACACCTCCCCCACGGCACCTTAGGAGACTCCAGCTCATGCACGAGGACGCGAAGAAGCCGAACTAATGCACGCAGCCAGGCCCGCCACATACAATACCACATGTTGTGGAATGCCACCATGGTGTTATGCCACCTGCGGGACCCAAATGACCAAACGCGACACTCCACCTCCCAGAGGATCCAATTGCCAGATCAACGTCTGCACCAGGAGCGCAAGCTGCCTCCAAGAGGCCCCAAACAGACACCACAATTGCCTCCACGAATCCTTCCAACATATCCCAAGAGGCATCAAAGATGCCTCTTCTCCACGACCCAACAACGGTAGCGAGATGGCCCAACGAACAACCTGCTGACAGAGAATGCTGGATCATTGCGAGGCATATCTAAAACAAACAAGACTAGCGACCAGAATCAGCATGCCGAGCCGATGCAAGGATGCAGGGACGCCTCACGAGGGCACCCCTGGACTGCCTATGGTTACAGCAAGCAAATGCTTGCAATCCTACGTAGGGATACCCTCCAACACATGTGCGGGGACGCCCAACTGTCACAATGGGCAAGTGGTCCTCGAGGCATCCGGACTTCGTCCCCTCCCCAGAGGCAGGCGAACAACGAAACACCACAGGTGGCTCAGATGGTGAATGTTTGGGCTGGCGGGCCTCCCAAAATATGCAGTCTATCTGGCTCGTCCAACAACGCACGTGATATGATGCCACCTGGACGCGCCATGGATTCGAGGATCATCGGCGGGACTCGGCTGCGTTCGTCCTTCTCTCCCGAGGCAAATCATCTGCTGCGCTGGCCATCCTCAACTTCCAGCATTTCGGGAAGCATTGACGCCGTGACGCCCCGACTTTCAGAAGCTGATGCCACTAGTGAAGAAGTCGAACTGGCTACGTCAGATCCCTGTGCTCTCCGAGACGCAGCCGCAGTCGAGGAGGCGCAGGTTGTGAAGGGAGGGGCCGACGAGTCTTGTAGCACACCAACGGAGCTGGATACGCAAAGAGAGGCCCAACACATAATAATACCAATGCATACGAATCGTAAAAAAATAACACTAACACTAATACTACTAATAACAAGAATATTAATAATAAGAACCATACAAATGATAATGCGAATGCTAACAATAGTAAGGATAATGCGAACAAAAACGAAAAAACATGACCGTAACCATTTGGCGCGGCGCGCGGGATTCTTGGATCTGCGCTGGACCCCCCTCCCTCCCTGGCGCGCGGATCGCGCCATGGGCGGCGCCAGAGGCGCCAGCAAAGGGGCTCAGCGCGGATCCAAGACATCCGTGCGGAGCGCCAACAGTTTATGTTCATGCCGTTTTTTCTCCTTCGATCGGAGAGACGTAAGGCTCGGGTTCGGGGGACTCGAGTTGGCCTGGCGGGGTCATCCATGAAAATGGCGAGACCCAACCTGAAATTCGACGCGAACTCCAAAAACATCTCACGAACACCGGACCTTCAAAATCCGTGATGCGCTTGTCAAAAAACGCCGGCAAACCCGAGCTCCCGCGTACTCGAGTCTTACGTTATGTCGGGCATGCCCCCCTACAGGGGGATTTTGGCAGAAAAATAAAAATACTCGAAAAATGCACCCCGAATGGGCAAACGTACTAAAAAAATCGTCCCCCGACTATTCTTTGACTATGTTTGAATACCCCTCCTGTAGCGGGACAAGCCGACTTAATCTTACGTTCCCCCGAATCAGACATGCGGCGCTCGCTGGAACGAGCGAAGAGCCGGCCTCACAGCCCGCCGTAGGCGCCCGTCGCGAGCGCCAGCGCCACCAGCGCAGCGGGGAGCCACCGGCAGAGGGCGGTGGCCTTCCGCCCTCGGACCCTTCGAGCACACAGCTCCTCCTCCTCCTCCTCCTCCTCCTCCTCCTCCTCCTCCTCCTTCGCCTTTCTCCTCCTCTCTCCTCCCCTCCCTCTTTCTCCTCCTCCTCCTCCTTCTCCTCCTCCTCCCCCTCCTCCTCTCCACCTCTCCTCCTCCTCCTCCTCCTCCTCCTCCTCCTCCTCCCCCTCCGCCTCCTCCTCCTCCTCCTCCTCCTGCTCCCTCCTCCTCCTCCTCCTCCTCCTCCCCCTTCTCCGCCCCCTCCTGCTCCACCTCCTCGTCTCCCCCCCCTCCTCCCCTCCTCCTCCTCCTCCCCCTCCTCCTCCTCCTCCTCCTCCTCCTCCTCCTCCTCCTCCTCCTCCTCCTCCTCCTCCTCCTCCCCGACTGGGTCAAGTGTCCGTCTTGTTCGTGAATTCGCACCTCACGGGAGAACAGGTTGTCACCTCGGGGATCCCCGCCTGGCTTGCCATTGGAAATACTTGTGTTGATGAGTTGGCCGCTCAGGCGGCCGAGGCTGGGAGAGTGGCCGACGAGGTTCGGGCGGCCGTCTTTCAGGTTGAGCGGAGGGCGCTGCACGTGAGGATGAGGCTCCTCCGTGCCGCGCTGGACAGCATGAACGTCGAGGAGCGTGGCGGACCCGCGCGCGCGAGGGAGAGGGGCCCTCCTCCTCCTCCTCCTCCTCCTCCTCCTCCTCCTCCTCCTCCTCCTCGTCCTTCGATTCTTCGTGCCCTCGTCTCGGAGCATCGTTTGGATGAGACTAGGCACAGATGTACTAGGTGTTGGGGATCTGCTAGCAGGGCCACTGCGTCCGAATGGCACCCTTCCCCTTGCTTTCAGCCTGTTCACGTGTGTGAGAGATATGATACAATACCTGCGGGGGGGCGGCTTCATATCGCTGGGGGCTGGGTTGAGGGGTCCCATCGAATGCGTTTGTCTCGAATGCAGAGGGTTTGGTTTTGCACTCAGTGTGGTCACTTCGCACACTCGCAGCTGCGAGAGTTGACCAAGGAATGTGCGCGCCAAATCGCACCCCATAGACGGGAGTATCTAGCCAGACTTCATGAAGGGAAGTGGCCGAAACTGCTTAGCAAGGCCGAGCAGCAGCGCCGCTCGTAGTTCGTATCGGCCACCACGCGGGATAGCTCGCAACTCGCAACTCCTCCTCCTCCTCCTCCTCGGAGCACGACGGAATGCATCAACGTTGGCGCCCCAGAGGTCCGACGCTCCAACAGAAATCTGAGCGGGCGGTTCTTGACAGTTGTCGGCCTCTGGGGGCCTTCACAAGATCCTGGGACCGTCAAAGGTCGACTCAGGATGGAACATTTGTCCTGGGGAAGTGGTCCAGAGACCTCTGGGGCCCACGCATCGACAAAAATTGGAGCAGCCAGATGTCAGGGGCAGCCGTGGCAGGCCACTGGCATCAGCAGCGGGTGAACCCAGGTTTCGAGACGCGCTCGCAACAATCACGACAACAATGGAAGTTGAACGGCGCCAGCGGGTGAAGCCCTGCGACTGGGGAAGAGTGCGTCCTCTTGGTGCCGCGCAGGCGAAACTGTGCGCCTACAGCTGCAGTGCCAAAGCTGCTGCTGGGGCCTTGTCCCAAGACTGATGCTGCCACCGCTGCTGCTGCTGGCCGACGGGTGGGGGTGTCGTGGTGTGGCGGTGTGCCGTGGTGGCATAGTAGAGTCGTGACTGTGCCCCGGCGGAGCCGTGGCGGTGTCACGGTGTCTCTGCGGTGTTGCGGCGCCGCGCAGCGCTGCGGCGTCGTGGTGCCGTGCGGTGTCGCGTGTCGCGGTGTCCTACCGTGCCGTGTGGCGTGCCGAGCGGCGGCGAGGTCTCCTTTCGCGGGCAGCGACAGCGGGGAGCCCGCCGTGAGCGCGGCGGGCGGGCAGAAACGCTGCCGCGCGCAGCCGCGGGACGGCGGCCCCCGGGGCGCTCACGCCGCAGCTCGGGCTGCCTCGACGGCCTGCTGCAGTCTGGCGACCTCCTCCTTCTGGGAGCTGCCAGCCGTGCTCCCAGCCCAGGGTGCCCCCGATTTCTCGCGCCACCTCGGAGGCCCCTGGGAGCCCCCAAGCCTCGGGTTCGCATGCCCGAAATGGGTACGGAAGGCAGCGGTACGACGTACAACAGCACATGCTGTCTACAACCAACAGCGGCCGCTGTTGGGCATGCGATCTGCTGTCTGAGATGGACAACGCCCGCGGCGGCACCGATCGCGAATCCAATTCAAAATGAACAAGAATTGCGGTTGGTCTTTGTACTCATTCTCCCCGTACCCATCTCGATCGGACCGCTCAAGCAAATACTCCGGATCCTACCCGGGCCTCCCCCGAAGAGCTGGGACCACCCCGGGCCAGGGCCACCTCTCGCAGACGCCCGATCCTTCAGCGCCTCCACGTCCGCCTCCATCGTCTTCAACTGCACCTGGTGCTTGAAGTCGTCGTGGAGCTCGCACAGCGCATACAGTGCCGCGGTCGGCAGCCGGCTCCCCTCCGGCAGCGGGTCCTCCAACACCCTCTTGGCCACGTGGTCCAGCGCCTCCAGCAACCGCTCCTCCGCGTTCGCAGAGGCGTCCATCGACGCGTCGCGGGGGCTCTTGTTGCGGAAGCCCCTCGAGGGCGAGTTGCTGTCGGAGTTCCGGTTGCCGCGCCTGCCGAAGCCGCCGGTGCGCGAGGCCATCGCTGCCGCTGGCCCGCTGCCGCAAGGCGCGCGGAAGGGGGCACAGTGCGCGCGGCCGAATCGGCTACCTCGCCATCGCTCGGACGTCCATTCCCTGTGTTTTTTTCGGTTTCGTGCGTGGTTGTTTCGCCAAATGATCAAGGATGCTCCTCGAGGGTCCTCGCCGAGGAAAAATGCACACGTCCGAGCGATGCCAAGGCCAGGGCGACCCTGGCAAGAGTGGCCTCTGGTGTGCGACTTGCCGATCGTTGCTGGCGGTGTGACACCTGTGGCCTGCGTGCTTGGGCTCAGCTCCCCCCCCCTCCTCCTCCTTCTCCTCCTCCTTCTCCTCCTCCTCCTCCTCCTCTCTCTCCTCCCTCCTCCTCCTCCTCCCCTCCTCCTCTCCTCCTCCTCCTCCTCCTCCCCTCCTCCTCCTCCTCCTCCTCCTTCCCTCCTCCTCCCACTCCTCCTCCTCCTCCTCCTCCTCCTCCTCCTCCTCCTCCTCCTCCTCCTTCCTCCTCCTCCTGCCCACCGCGAAAGCCGCGCACCATAGGTCACCCTGGCGAAGGGACACCCCTGCGCGTAGCCGACCGAAACGCTGGGGAGGACGGGGCTGGCTGGCCGGGGCGGCTTGCGCCAATACGGCGATGAAGTTGAAATATAGTGTGGCGGCGCGCTGGCCGTGGATGGAGATATCGTGTCACCTCGTAGGGCGAACTCCTAACCTGGCCTGGCATGGCTCACGCATAGCACGCACGCAACGAACACGAACACCGGTGCGCGCGACACACTATCAGTTTGTGTAGAAGACATGTGGTGGCGTCGCAACCTCGCGGTGCCGTGGGAGCCTGTGCATCACGGCTTCGTCCTTTAATTTTCGAGCCGAGCACAGGACAGCGAAGGAACAGAGGAGCAACTACGAAACACATTGTGGCTCACATGCGAGACAATGTTGTGAAGCAGCAAGACGTCGCCAGGCGTCTCGGAAGGTCCTCCCCGCTACCTTCTTCCTGCTCAATCGATCGCAGTGCTGCGGCGTTGCGTGGGGAAAACCAGGACCTGAGTTTGCCCCCCCGACCCACTCCCACAGAGGCGTCTACTTTAAGCCCTCGGGTACAACATACGGCGCCAGACCCATGCGAGAGAGGGTTGCCAAACACTCCAAAGCCCGACGCATTGAACAAGCCACGGGGAACATAGTGATTCTCATCATCACCAGCACCACGATTCTCATAACCATCATCATGATGATTATCATGACCATCATCATAATCGACACCATCACATCATGACCAACACCGGCATTATCACCCTCCTCCTCCTCTTCCTCCTCCTCCTCACCATCACCATCACCATCACCATCACCATCACCATCACCATCACCATCACCATCACCATCACCATCACCATCACCATCACCATCACCATCACCATCACCATCATCATCATCATCATCATCATCATCATCATCATCATCATCATCATCACTATCATCAACATCAAAATCAACGACACCATCACCATCACCATCATCATCATCACCATCATCATCATCATCACCACTGTCATATTAATGATCGCCATCCCAACATCACCAGTATCGTGATCATGAGCATGATGATGATGCTGATGATGCTAATGATGAGGCTGACCATCATCACCATCATCATCATCATCATCATCATCATCCTCATCATCCTCATCACCATCGTCATCATCAGCAGCACCACCATTATCATCACCATCAACATCAATATCAACACCACCGACACCATCAAAACCATCATCAACACCATCAACAACACCATCACCATCCACATCATCATCATCCTCATCCTCATCCTCATCCTCATCCTCATCCTCATCCTCATCCCCATCGCCATCGCCATCGCCATCGCCATCGCCATCACCACCTGCACCATCACCATCACCATCACCATCACCATCACCACCACCACCACCACCATCACCATCACCATCACCATCACCATCACCATCACCATCACCATCACCATCACCATCACCATCACCATCACCATCATCATCATCATCATCATCATCATCATCATCATCACCACCATCATCGCCCGCATCATCATCATCATCGCTACCGTGACCGTTACCACGTTCATCTCCATCAGCATCATCGTCGTCGTCCCAACCGTTGTCGTGAGCTCTGGCTGCAATCCTCGCAAGAGGGGTCCATGGACCACTCCTGGGGTCCACTCTGGTACATGCTTCTAGCTGTGCTGTCGTACTGCCAAATATCTTTCAAATCTTAGCAAAACCGACCCAAAGTCACCACTTTGTCTCTTAAGGCCGGGTCGGCCAACTAGCTCCACCCCGCGCCGGAATTCCTCTAGCTCATCGATACCGAAGAGCTCTACGAGGTACATGCCTCTAGCCGTGCTGTCGTACTGCCCAACCGTGGCGGGGAGAGCCTCCCGAGACGACCGACCAACCTCCCTGCACGGCGACGCCGACGTCGTCGGTGCTGTCGCCGCCGGCCCCCGCAGCAGGGCCGCGAACGGCCGCCGCGAGGGCCGCGCACGGCCGCCGGCCGAGGGACCCCGCACCGGCCGACCACCCCGCACCGTGGGAACAGAACCTCGGCTGGGTAGTCGAAGCCAATCTGGCGCCAGTCTGGCAGGCCCAATCTGGCAAACGGGGGCACTCTGGCGAGGGAGCCGACGCGAAGCCAGTCTGGCGGATAACCCAGATCCTCCAACATGGCCAGGCCAGATTGGCCCTCGGGGCCCAATCCAGTCTGACAGTCTGGCCTTCGACTACCCAGTTCGGAGAGGAGCGACTCGAGACGACGACAGCTCACAGTCAGGCTGCCGACCGGGGTCCACGCGCACCACATTTTCCGAGCTGCGTCCAGCCGTGGCGACGAAAGAGCCTCCCGAAGGCCAGCTTGCCAACTGCAGTCAACCCGCAGTGTAAGGATGCGCGATGAGGATGCATGGCCCTTGGACGCCCATTTCGAAGGGTTTCGAGCGGGGCGCGGCCAGCGAAAGTGTCCAAGGATGGACCCAGGAAGCAAGGATGCAAAGGGTACCCTTGGGAGGGATGCCTATCCTTACTCTGCGGGTGGACTGTACCGCTGTCTCGACTCGCCCTCCTCTCGGGCGCTGCCAGGACCGGGTTCAGGGGCACTCCCCCGGCCCCGTTGCACTAACCAGAACTGCCGCCACCCGAAGACACGCCAACTACGGCGGACCTGCTTTCATCGGCGGTGGACAAACCTCCCTTCAGTAGACCTCCCCTTAGTGAAAACGGCCTGGGACCGAAACCGACGGACCTGGACCCGCAAAAATGACGGCCGCGACGCCCTCCCGCGAACCAAAAAAGGCCAGCGAACCAAAAAAGGCCAATTCCTTCATCGACGTGTCAGGGTAGGACGTCTGTCCACCACCGATTTAATGATTCTGGTTCATTTCCGGGGCTCCGGGCCCAATCCCCTTGCCCGCGGCGGCCAGGGTGAGGTACAGGGCGTACTTCGAACCGGCAGGTGCGTCAGCCCTGATCTGCGACTTGTCCTCTTGACACCCCTGGACGACGAGGCGGGCTTTCATGCTGTCCCAGACCCCCAGCCATTCCTGGTCATTACCCAGCGCGTGCCCACTGGGCATATCCCAGGTTTGCGCCGCATGACTTCCTTCGGGGTCATGGCTACAGTCGGACCTAGGCCAGAAGAACATTCTCAAGAACATGAGACCCTCCGTCGGCCACAACTAACGAAGCATCCAAGGGTATCCTCCCCAGGGTGCACAATCACATACAACAGGCACGGAGAACACTAGGTACCCTCCACGAACCGACCTCAATCTTATGCCTCGGTCCGACCGTACGGTCGACCCGTACAAGAAGGATGCGCGGTAAGGATGCAAGGGCCTTGGAGGACAATGTGGGCGCTTTCCGAACGAGGTTGGCCAGCGAAAGTCGCTCAGGGCGGGCCGAGGGGGCAAGGACGCAGGGGTGGCCTTGGAACATCGCTCATCCTTACTCTGCGGGTGACCTCGGTCCGACTGTACATCTCGGGCCGGGCGACAGAAAGGGGGGGATAGCAAAAGGGGGTTTGAGAATCAGCTCACGTAGCTCATTTTCCTGGCGTCTCCCGGCGCCGGAGGCGGCTATGTATCGGGGAATGGGCCCCTCGGTGGGGCCGAAACCAGCGGCATGCAGCAAATTCCGTTACCCCTCCTTTCGTCTGGCCCGAGACACACGACGGATCTGGGCCAAAAGAACATCCCTGAAGAACATGAGACCCTCCGCTGGCCAAAACACCGCAGACCCTGAGATCTTTCGAGGGTGAAATCTCATCGAGCCTGCCGCCCTCCTCGGGGGCTCACAGCTGGGCAGACGGGCAGGGGACCCCGAACTGGGGATCTTCGTCGCCGGAGGCCGGCCCCCCGCCATCCCCCGGGGCCCCGCCTCGTAACCGCACTGCCGGCCCGCCCCTCGGGGCAGCCTGCCGTGCCGCCACGACGCCACGCGCGCGACGACGGCCGATGGGGCCCTCGGCCAGACAGGGGGAGGGCGGAGCAGGGGGGGGGGATGGAGGGGCGGGGGGGCGAAGACAGCCGCCTCCTCAACGGGGGGGAGGGGGATAATCACTTGTCTTGACTTCGCCCTCGCAGCGGCGGACACCACGGGACACCACGGGACACATGTCGATCTCACCATCGATCTCACTCAACGGGACACCACGGGACACCACGGGACACCGCGGGACACCGCGGGACACCGCCGGACGGACGGACGGATGGGCGGGAGGGGGAGAATCATTTGTCTTGACTTCGCCCTAGCAACGGCGGACACCATGGGACATCACGTGACACCGCGGGACACCGTGAGCCACCGCCGGATGGGCGGGCGGGCGGGGAGAATCATTTGCCTTGACTTCGGCCTTGCAACGGCGGTTCATTCCTCTCGCGCGCCCACGCAGCTTCACCTCGCCGCACGCACGACACGAACGAAACGAAACGATTTCCTGGTTGGGGGTCTCCGTTCCACTGCGATCTCACCCCCCAACCTCCGATTGAAGTAGGAAGGCGCTTGACGCAGACTGGGATCTGGGAATCGAGGAATACCTACTTTCAACGACCGACGTGTACATGCAGCCAAGGGCAACCGCGGTCCATGTCTTCGGCGAGGCTCCCCGACGAATGCAGTCGGACCTAGGCTAGAAAAACATCCCTCAAGAACATGAGACCCTCCACCAGCCCAAACTGAACACTCGAGGGCGCCCTCCCCCAGGAAACACACGGAGAACATCAGGGTGCCTTCCCCGAACCCACCTCGATCGTACACCTCGGTCCGACTGTACGGTCGACCCGTCTAGCAGGGACGCGCGGTAAGGATGCAAGGGCCTTGGAGGGGCTCATGTGGGCGCTTCTCGCTCGAGGTTGGCCAGCGAAAGCCGCTCAGGGTGGGCCGGTGGGGGCAAGGATGCAAGGGTGGCCCCGGGAAGTCGCTCGTCCTTCTGTGTACTGCCCGCCCCGGAGCTCTTCGCCCCTGACCCCTCCTCGGCCGCGCCCTGGGCGCCACCGCGCCCTCCGCGGCACGACCCGCAGCGCGAGCCCGGCAGCTCGGGGGAGGCCGGCACACCGGCCGGCGTGCCGCCAAAGCCCTGGCGGGCCGCCGCCGTCCGCCGCCGAACGCCGCCGCCAGCGCAGTATGGACCTCTGGGGGTCTCCAGGGGGGTCGGTTCGGGGAGGGGGTCCTTCTTCCTTGGAGGTTCTCGTGCTTCCTGGGGAGGGTGCCCTCGGATGTTCTTTCAGTTTGGGCTGACGGAGGGACTCCCGGTCTCGAGGGATGTTCTTTGCGCGGCACCAACCGATATGACGCAGGCGAGCTGCAGTCAACCCGTGTAGCAAGGATGCGCGCTGAGGATGCAAGGGCCTTGGAGGATGCGCCGCCAGCGCAATATAATCGTCTTGGGGTCTCCCAGGGGCCTCGGATGACGCGCGGCACCAGCTGAGATGACGCAGGACTACAGTTGGACCTGGGCTAAAAGAACATCCTTGAAGAACATGAGACCCTCCACCAGCCCAAACTGAAGAACATTCGAGGGTACCCTCCCCAGGAAACACAAGAACATCCAACAAACACGAAGAACACCAAGGCCCCCTCCCCGAACTGACCTAGATCTTATATAACTCGGTCCGACTGTACGGTCGACCCGTATAGTAAGGATGCGCGGTAAGGATGCAAAGGGCGTTGGAGGGCTACAGGTGGGCGCTTTTCGAACGAGGTTGGCCAGCGGACGTTGTTCAGGGTGGGCCGAGGGGGCAAGGGTGCAAGGGTAGCATTGGGAAGTCGCTCGTCCTCACTGTGCGCGTTGACTGTAGGCGGGGGAGGGTGAGGCAGAAGGGGAGGAACACACTCAGGAGGGAAGACGCAGGCATACTGAAGCATGAAGCGGGAGGGCGGACAAGCCATCGAAAGAGCAAATCAAAACGAGGTGCCCTCGATTGCTTTATCAGGAAGAGGCCTGAATTACGCAGTCTGGGATCCTGGAATCCTCTTCCAAACAAAGGACTTCCAGCTTGCGTCATGCAAACACGTTCGCCTCATCCAGAAACGCAGAGTATTTGGACAGGGTCGAGGTGACACGCAGCAAATGTTCGCCGCGACGGCGTGGGCTTCGTCTCGACTGCGAACGATCTCCTCCTTCGCAGATTCGCAGCACGATCGCCAACCACTTGGGAATACGCCAATTCGTCCAATGACACCTCCGTGCGAGCCCAGAGGGACTCGGGGTGATCGCACCGTCTTGGGACCGGGCCGTTCTGTGAGGACGCCTCGAGCCTCTCGGGCCTCCCTCCCAGGAGGGCCAACGATACGGGGGGGTGGAGGCTTCTTAGGGGGGGGACATCGACCTGGAGTCGGCGATGCGTCGCCGATAGATCAGTGATAGGTCCCGATGGCGGGGGGCTCCGGGGCTGCGCAGCAGGCACCCGTACAGGGAGGGAGAAGGGCGAGGAGGAGGAGGCGGAGGAGGAGGAGGACGAGGACGAGGAGGACGAGGAGGAGGAGGAGGAGGAGGAGGACGAGGAGGAGGAGGAGGAGGACGAGGAGGAGGAGGAGGAGGAGAGAGGAGGAGGAGGAGGAGGAGGAGGAGGAGGAGGGAGAGGAGGAGGGGAAGGAGAGAATCCGCGCGCTCCTGGGCGGGGAAGGGCCGTCGGGCCCCCGTCGGCGGTGCGCGGGGCGACGGGGGGCCGACGCGGCCCCCCCCCGAGCCGATCCCCCCCCCCCCGAACATTGGAAGGGGCCCCAGGACACGCAAATACATGCACACCAATAAAAAAAAAATCGCATCTTTTCCCAGATTTTCGGGGTTTCTGTCTTCCCCCCCACTTCCAATAGTTTCCCATATCTTCTGGGGCATCGGCGATGAATGGTGTCTGTGTGTTTTTTCCCCTCCCGAACCCTGCCCCCGAGGATTCCTCGGGCAGCGGAGTGCCTCCGAAGTCCCCAGAGCCGTCCGTGGACGGAGTAGCGGCCAGTGTCTGGGAGACGGAGGGCTCGGGTTCGGAGGACTCAGGTGGGCCCGACGGGGCCATCATGGCTGATAATGGCGAGGCCCAGGCTGAAACTTGACGCGAGCTTCCGCTGCGCCATCCCGAGAAAACTGGACCGTCAACATCCAGGACGCGCTCGTAAGAAATCGTCGGCACACCCGAGTTCTGGCGCACTCGCGTCTTTTGAGCAGGGACCGACCGTCCCGGCATTCCTACAGGCCTACCACGACATGTTCATGGAACCCAGAACTGTTCTAAGAACACGGACGATGTTCTCAGACCATAGATGGGATGAGTTGAAACAAGACAATCTCGGCCAGAAGTGTTCTAAGAACATTTCGTGGAAGCCACAACAGTTTCTTAGAACATTCTTTGGTGGGACTACAGGCGAGCCAGGACGCTTCGCCACTGCTTGCGTCTTACGTGCCCCCGACAACGAGGCCCTCGGGTTATGTCGGGCCTGTCCCCCCACAGAGGGATTTTCGACAAGAAATAAACATACCACAACAATAATCAAACAATAACCCAAAACTAATCCAGGGACAATTTTTGAGTATTGTTTGACCTTTTTGGAGTATTTTTTTGTATTTTTCAGTTTTCGTCGAAAATCCCTCTGTAGGGGGACACGCCCGACATAAGCCTCGGGACGTCGGCGCCAGCAGGTCCTGAATGGGGGGCGGGGCCTCCTCAGGCGCCTGCGCCCGCGCTGCAGCAAGCGCCGGGAGGAGGAGAGGGAGGAGGAGGAGGAGGAGAAGGAGGAGGAGGAGGAGGAGGAGGAGGAGGAGGACGAGGAGGAGAAGGATGAGGAGGAGGAGGAGGAGAGGAGGAGGAGGAGGAGGAGGGGGAGGGGGAGGAGGAGGAGGAGAGGAGGAGGAGGAGGAGGAGGAGGAGGAGGAGGAAGGAGGAGGAGGAGGAGGAGGAGGGAGGAGGAGGAGGAGGACGAGGAGGAGGAGGATGAGGAGGAGGAGGAGGAGGAGGAGGAGGCGGAGGAGGAGGAGGAGGAGGAGGAGGAGGAGGAGGAGGAGGAGGAGGAGGAGGAGGAGAGGAGGAGGAGGAGGAGGAGGAGGAGGAGCAGGGGCACGAGCCTGCTGCCCTCCTCGGGGGCTCACAGTTGGGCAGACGGGCAAGGGACCCCGAACTGGGGACCTTCGTCGCTGGAGGCCGGCCCTCCGCCATCACCCGGGGCCCTGCCTCGTAACCGCACTGCCGGCGTCTCCCGGCGCCGGAGGCGGCTGTAACGGGGAATGGGCCCCTCGGTGGGGCCGAAACCAGCTGCATGCAGCAAATTCCGTTACCCCCCCCTTTCCCAATCCCCCCCTTTCGTCCGGCCCGACATCCCCGGGGCTCGCTCTCCGGCTCCCCCTCCCCACGGCCAGGGGGGTGGCTGCACCTCGCGGGGCGTGCCCCGCGGCGGGGTCGGGAAACTGGCTGCGGGCAGCGCTTGGCAGAACCCCCCCACTTCTGCCCGCTCGCTCCCGCCCCTCCCTCCCGTAGGCCCTCCCAAGGACCCCCCGTACCGTCGGGGCGTTGACCTAAGGAACTCCAAATAGGGAACGAGGCCCCTTTCTCCCATAAGTTGAGCTTCGATTTCCCATGGGAAACCTCAGGAAAACCGAAGGCAAACTGCAGAACAATCAAGGAACACCGAGCCCCTCCCCAACGAAAAAGGTTCCTTTTTCAGGGCCCTGACTGTAGGCCCGAACCAGGACCGCCCCCCAACAGGGCGTCGAAAGCACACGCTCCCCCCCCCCCCTCAAGAGAAACAGCAAGTGGCGGAAGCCGATGCAGAGGAGGGGCAGCGGCGGCGGGGGGGAGAACGCTGCCCCCCGAGAGGGCGGCGAAAAACCAAACAGCCCCCCCCCCGCAGGGCGAGCGATTGAGCATGCATGCCACGCATGCAAGTCAGAGGCGCGAGTGGCTTCGAAGATGAACAGAGCGGCTCATGATTCCCGCTGGGGGCGATGCCCCGAGCTGCTTTCTCCAAGCGCGGGGTGGTGGCTCGCGGGGGGGGGATACAGGGGATGTCCGGCGCGTGGCGTGGTTGGGTGGGGTATCGCTTTGGGGGTGACTTCGGAGCGCGCACGGGGGGAGTGAGGGGGAACGGGCCGTCGGGAGAGATGGCATGGGCTGGGCGCTTATTGAACCGTCTGGAGTAGTTAGCGTGCCAGCGCGAACCTTTGCTGCTGCGGCTCATCTCTGCTCCTCCTGCTGGCTCCTCTTCCCCTTCTGCTTCTCCTCCTTTCCCTCCTCCCTCCGTCGCTGTTTGTCATACATGCCCCTCCTGTTTTCGTTTGGATAAGCCGATCTGGGAGGCCGGGCCAGGCGTTTTGCTTGGGCAGGTGGTTTTCAAAATGCGAACCTCGCCTTAGCTCTGTGTTCATTTCACTTTCACTCGTGATACAAGCTTCCAACAATGACAAAGATGGAAGACTGGTGGTTTTGAATGCTGCTCTCGCCTTATCGCTGGGTGCATTCGCTTTTTGCCAAAAGCTCCAACAATTACAATGATTGTGGGCCAATCATTTTCAAAATGCGGCTCTCGCCTGGGGGTCGCGCACTCTCGTTAACAAAAATCAAACACTTTACACATGTGGTGAACTGGCCGTTTCCCAACAACTGTGGCTCTCGCGGTAGCGCGACGTCCATTCGGTTCAACAATTTCCAACATTTGCAACGATGGAGGACTGGTCGATTTCAGAATGCAACTCTTGCTCAATATGTCCTCGACTTGTATATCTTGAAGTTCTGATACTTACACGTCTGGAACGCGGCTCCTTTTCCAAAAACTTGCCCTCGTTTCCGCATATGTTGAGCAGAACCGTGAAAGCATGCATAAAGCTTACGCAGATGGAGGACGCATCCTTTTCAAAACGGGGCTAGCATTTGGACTCTACCTTGAACTGAACCATACTTCAGCCAACCCGTATAATAAGGACGCGCGATAAGGATGCAAAGGCCTTGGAAATTTGAAGGCCATGCCGACCCTCTGCGAGCGGTGCGCGGCCAGCGAGAGCGGCCAGGGATGGGCCGAAGGGGAACGATGCAAGGGTAGCCTTGGAACATCGCTCATGCTTGCTATGCGGGTTGACTGTATCCTCCTCTTCCTCATTTTCCGCCCCCCAGGCCAACGACGCGGACAAGCGCCGCCGATGAAGAAGACTCTGACGACGACACCAACGACGCCAACGGCGACGCCGCCGCCGACGACATTCGGGCGTGGCGGCGCGGGGATCGGGAGCGGCCAAGAGGGGGGTGTCCAAGAGGGGGGGGTGCAGATCATGGCCGGCGGCATGTGCGCGGCCCAGCGGGGGGGGGGCCAGGGACGCAATGAAACAAGAAGAGGCGCCATGGAATCTGGGGAAATATCATGGCCCCCGCCATGACATCCACCCCCCCGTAGTCATCATCCCCCTCTTTTCCGCCTCCGAAGGATGTCTGTGGAAGGGCCGACCACCCGACCGCGGCAGGCCTGTGGGGTGAGGGTCCCCGGGCGGCCTTGACAGGCCCCCCTTTACACGGCAGAGGTGGGACCCGAGGACCCCTGTTTCCCACTCATCCTCCTCGTCCTCGTCCTCCTCCTCCACCTCTTCCTCCTCGCCCTCCTCGTCCTCATCATCCTCCTCGCCCTCGCCCATCGCCCCCCCCCCCTAGTCCTCACCCCCCTCTTCTCCGCCCCCGAGAAGGGGGAGAGGCGCGCCGCGGCACTGCCGCCCGGGTTGCAGCCGCCGCCGCAGGCTTTCTCGCGGGGCGCGTCGGCGGGCTTCATGGGCTCGAACTGCTGAGCGGCGTCGGCGTCGGGGTCGCCGCCGCACGGTCGTCGTGGGCGTCGTCGGCGTCGTTTGCCTCGTCGTCGCCTCTTGCGGGGGAGGACGAGCGGATGAGAGATGAGGAGGTGACTGATCGGGAGACTCTTCATGGGGGGGATCCCATGGGGGGATAGGATCCCAGGGGGGTGATCCCATAGGATCCCCTGGGGATCCCATGGGGGAGCAGGAGGGGATCCCATGGGGGGGATCCCCTCCTGCCCCCCCATGGGATCCCCCCCCATGGAGAGTCTCCCGAACTGAAGGGGTCCAAGAGATACACAGATTCGCCGGCCCAACGGGCCAGAGGCGTGCTAAGATCTCCGGCAACTGGTTCACAATATTTCTGGTTCGCGCTCGCGGGGCGGCCCCTGGGGGTCCCCCGGCGAAGAATACCCCGACCGCCGCGCGGGCGCAGCTTGGCCACCCTTACTCAAAGATGGTTTTCCTCCTGGGTGCGGTCTCTGAGGCCCCCCAGAGCGCGCCAAGAGGGCCCCAAGAGGCCTCCAAGACAGCCTAAAAGCGCTCCGAGTCACCGAACGAGCGGTCCAAGACGCCCAAGATGGCCTTCACACTGCCCTCGAGGCCGCCAAGAAGCCCCAAGGGAGCCTCAAGAGACTCTCCAAGAGGGCTCCAACAAGCAAAAATCGTCCCATTCCCTGGGGGAAACGTGCATTTTTCGCATATGCGACGTCTGGGGTTCACAGCGTCCAAACCTGCTCAAGAGGCCCCCACGATCGCCCCAAGACGGCCCAACAGGCCACCAAGATAAGCCCATGAGGACCTCCAAGATGGCCCACGACGCCTCCAAGACTCAAGACGGCTCTAAAAGCGAGCCCAGACGGGGCACCCGAACGGACATTTCGAGCTTTTGGCCCGAAGAGGGTCCTAGGAGGCTCCAAGAGGCTGCCAACCCGCCTTGCCCACAGAGGCCCCCAAAAGGCCCTCAAGAGGCCCCAAGAGGCCCCCCAGAGGCTCCCAGAAGCTTCGAAGAGGCTCCCAAGAGGTCCTAGGGGGGCTCTCTTGGACTGTCCTGAGGCGCCCTGAAGCCGTTTTGAAGCCCTCTTGAGAGCCTCTGGAAACGTTTTGGGGCCGCCGCTCTCTGCAGCTCCGCACTGACGACCTCTCGGCCAGGCCACCGCGGTGCGCAACATGGGCCGGCGGAATGAGCGAAGCGATTAAATCAAAAGAAACAAGTCCAATGATACCTTAACCTCTTTTTCCACACGGGTAAAAGATCGAGGAGGAGAGAAAAAGGGAGAAACCGGAGGGAGCGTTACGGCAACTCGCGGCGGTGGAGGTCTGCGGAGGAGGGAGGAGGGTTAAGACCACAAACTGGCTGACTGACGGACAAACAGATCGACGCGTCCCTAACCTGGCCGGATCACCGAGCGAGGTCGAAGTCGCGTTGATCCCAACAGTTCGGACGCATGTCATTGGGCACATGTGGGAATGGACGAACGCGTTCCTCCAGCCATGGAAAATGTGACGTGGGCGGCTCGGAGGATACGGATGAGGAGGACGAAGGAGGATGATTGGGATAATCCGCCGACCCCTTGTGGGTCTCTAGGCGTGTGAGATAGTTCCCCCCCCCTAACCCCCCCCCTGGGACCCCAAACCGGAGATTTGACCCCCCCCCCCCGGGCCGCAGACGAGCGCACCACGGGGCTCTTTTGGGCCCAAAAGGGGATCAAGACGGGCCAAGAAGGCCCCAAGACTCCTCCAAGACGGCTCACGAGAGCTCCGAGGCGCCAAACGAGCGCTCCCAGACGCCCAAGATGCCCCCAAGACGAGCCTAGAGGCCTCCAAGACGGCCCAAGACGCCTCCAAGAGCAGTCCTCAGAAGGGCCGAAGCGCCGAAAATCGTCAATTCCTATGGGAAAACGTACATTTTGATCACATACTACTTCTCGGCCTTCACGGCGTTGAAGACGGTCCCAGAGCACCCCAAGACCGCCCCGAGAGGCCCCCAAGAGGCGCCCAAGTCGGCCCAGGAGGGCGCCAAGACGGCCCAAGAGGCCCCCAAGACAGCCCAAGAGGGCCCCAAGACGGCCCCAAGAGGTGCCCAAGAGGGGGAGCCCGAACCGACAATCCGAGCCTTCCGCCCCAAGGCGGCCCCAGAAGGCCCCAAGAGGCCCCAAGAGGCCCCCAAGACGCCCACAAGAGGCCCCAAGAGGCCCCCAAGAGGCTCCAAAACGGCCCCCAAGAGGCTTCGAAACTGCCTCCAAGAGTCCCGCGAAAAGCCCCCCAAGAGATCCCAACGATCACCGCACAAGTCTCATATCAACAACCCAGGCACGGTGGCGGGGTTGCGTTTGCGCACAAAAAAATGATTCGCGCTCTCGAGGCCAAGATTGCTCCAAAACGGCCCAGGATGGCTCCAAAACGGCCCAAGATGGCTCCAACACGGCCCAAGAACGTTCGAAGACGGCCCAAAATGGCCTCAAGATGGCCGACAAGGCTTTCACTATCGCCCACGAAGTCTCCAAGAAGACCCCCAGGACATCTGAAAGAGGCGCACATTACGCATTTCATTACATTTCCATTGCGTTGTTGAACATGTTTGCAATTGTTGCCTTTCCCGGCTTCCGTCGGCTCACGTAGCCCAAAGAGCCTCCAAGATCGCCCCACGGCGCCCCAAGAGGGCCTCAAGACGGCCCCAGAGAATCCCAACACGGCCCAGGACGCCTCCCAATTCGGCCTAAGACGACCCCAAGACGGCAAAACCTGTCTCCAAATTGGTCCCAAGCTGGTGCAAGACGGCCCTAACCCAAAACCCATAACCCAGAGCCTTGTTTCTGTGTCCCCTTCCTCCTTCTCCTCCTCCTCCTCCTCCACCTCGGCCGCCAGGTGGGTTCAAAACTGCTTTCCAAAGGTCCCCGAGAGGCGTGCCGCGAGATCCCTATACACATACAACAAGTTTCTAACCAATAGCACATATCCCAGAGTTTCGTCTCTGTGTCCCCGTCCTCCCCCTCTTCTCCTCCTCCTCCACCTCCTCCTCGCCCACTCCTCCTCTTCCTCCCCCGCCTCCTCCTCTTCCTCCCCGATTCTTCTCCCCCCATCCTCCGCCTCACCCCCCATCCCTCTCTCCCCCTCCCCCCTGTCCTCCCCCGCACGCGCGCCCCCGATTGGGCATCATTTGCAGGTCTTGCATATCAGGGTGCCCTTTTTTGCATCGCGTGCGACGTTGGCAGGGTTCCCGGAGAACGCCGACGTCGGTAGTCTTCTCTTGCACGCGCCGCCGCACTGATACGCCTGGCAACTGCGGGCTGTGAACCCGAGGTTCCGGCAAGACCGCCAAGATGAGGGGTCGGCGGATGTGGCGTAAGCCTATAGAATCATGGTGTTTTCCACTTCGCTAAACGTAAGCAAAATCGCAGACAATGTGCTCCCAAGGACAGAAGCTTCGCCGCCGAGCCATCACGCATGCTCGTTGCTCTCCCGAACGAAGCACCGTCTACGCCTTTCACGGAGCGGGAGAAGCCGCACGTAGCTGATTCAAGGGAGAAAGGGGGAAGAGGACGAGGAGGAGGATGAACGAGGAGGATGAGGTGGGCGAGGCGGGAGAGATCAGACGAGGGAGAAGGGAGAAGGCCAGCGTGGGCAGACCGCGTTCAAAGTTCAAAGAAGACAGGCCAGGCTCCATGCCTGGACCGTCAGCAGCCTCGGCTCACTCGAAGATAAAACATTACAAGAAGCTTCCGATCCGCTCCTCCTAGGCGCTTGGGCAGAAGAGTCCAGCGGTGCACAGTGCTGCACAAAATTCGCGGACCCCTCTTGGTGTCCCTCGGCGTGTGAGGTAACTACCCCTCCCAAAGCCGCTGCCCCTGGAGCCTGGTCTGGCCGGTTTAGGAGAGGGTCCAACCAATGGTGCGGCGAACCCTCCTCGCCGGGGCGCTTATGTCCTCCAAATGTACTCCGTATTTCACAATAAAAGGGTGGTGGTCTGATTTTGTGGGGGGTCTGATCTGAGCTGTCGTGGAGGGTTCCAGTGGGGTCTGGGCAAAAGGCCGCCCTTTCATGGCTGGTCCGGGGGGGGGGTAAAACTGCTCGTCTGGGAGGGTTGTGACCCCCTCCCTTTTATTACGAAATCTGGAGCACTCTCGGTCAGATTTTGTGGCACTCCTTTGCAGAGGGTCTGGCGCAACCTTGCCAGACGTCGACCGCTCGGCACCTGCGGCCCCCGAAGCGCCTGCACTTCGTGCGCGTCCGCTCTGGCCGGTCTTCCGAAGACTGCGGCCTCGGCGTCTGATGGCACGGGCCGTTTGGGGGAGGGGCACGTGCAACACTCGAAAACCGCCACTGGGTCTCGAGACAGCCGGACAGAGCTCCCCCCACGGCTCCAGAATACCCTTCATAGACAGCCCCGAGAGCCGCAAGATGGCCCCAAGACGGTCCAAGAAGCCCCCAGGCCAACCCCATGAAACCCCCAAAGTGACCCAAGAACAGAAGGAAGGTTCGTCTGGCCCCCGCGAAGTGGTGTGTACCCATGCGAAGCGTGGGTGCTGAGCGGCAGCGTTTTCCAGAGCGAACCAGATCATACATGAGCATACCAACACAATGCGCAATGTTGTTCACGTGTACCGTGCCGAAATTGACATGGTCCACGTTTTCTTACTCGGCGTTCCGACATTGGGCGGAAGGGGCAATGTTTAACGCTTGCGCTTTCCAACTCTGTTGCTTAACTCTGAAAACAACTGCACCATATGACACATTTTCGTTTGATCGTTACGTATTCCGGTTTATCCCCCCCACCGGCGCCACTCCACATCCGTGATATCACTTGGGAACCTCCACGTGGCGCCTCTCACTTGGGCTTCCAAATCTTACAGCACCCGAGGGAAATCACAGATTCATGCTTCTTCGGCCACTTGAGGATCCAAGGCGGCCCAAGGGGCTCTGAGGCGGCCTAAGAATTCCCCAAGACGGGCCAAGTAGGCCCCCAAAAGGCCTCCAGAGGCGAAGGCCATGA